AAAACTCCGCGCCTCACAAAGAACATACCGGTCGGACTAACCTATCGGGCCAGGCGTAATTGTGCTGGCAGGCAGCAAAAGAGCAAAAAGGTCGCCATGACCACCTGTACATTGATAGTCGAATTCACTTGGTAGGGCGATCAGAACCGGCAAAAGCAGGTTTAGCAAAGCTGTGCAGAGCACAAGAGGCAATAGCATGCATCGACTTGAAGGGTGTTCTCTCGATGCCAGTTCAGTCTACGAAGGCACCGTCCCTGCCACACTCATGAAAATGAATATTTTGCACTGCACAACTCCACTTGTCAGCAAGTCTGCTTCCCACGCGCTCGGTAATGTAGACACGCATCAGAAATAAGCCTCTCAGAATATAAACCTCCAGCATCAAAGGGAGGAGCGGCAACTTCTTGTGCCAAGGCTGTTTTGCCGTGCCGAGAGAGATTGTCATAAGCCTCCGATTGCAGTGGAGTCTGTCTCAAAACTGTCAGTAGAGCTGGAATATAAACATGATTGTGTGGGTTGATAGTTGAATTTCCAAAATTGAGGCAAGTATGTCTCGACGTTATGCTGACTTTAGAGGCTGGAATGCAAGTCCTACCTCGCCTCATCGTCTCAACGTCTTCGCCGAGGCGTCTCGAAAAAGGTTCTAGATCGTCGTAAAAATACTCTTATTGACAAACCAGGCCGCCTTAAAGATCAGAAGCGTTTTTCAATTTTTAGAAAACTATTTTTGCCATTACACTCTAGCACACAACTATACTCCGAATGAGCAGTTTGATAGACTTTCGTCAGAGCTTGAATAAGAACTCTTGACATCCGAGGTCGTTTGAAGATCAAAAGGCCGTTTTTGAGATAATGAAAGCGAAATCTGCAACTATTTGGCACTTTTGAGCTCCGTACGGTAGAAATTTCAAGTTGGTCTCTGCGGAAAATTTTCCCAGAAGAACAATTATGGAAAGTCATTTCTTTGGTTTTGCATAGTTTCCTTAGTCTCAACTTTGCTATTAAGAAGAAATGAGCCTACAGTTAAAACATGTAAAAATTTCATTACATCTTTAGTGGAAAGATAGTCGCCTTAAGTCACTTCAAAGGTATAAGAACTGATATTTACTCTGCCTATAATAAAGTGTGAAAATTCCCTAGCATTGCGTTGAAATTCCCTTGACCTTGCCTAGCATAAGGTTTTCTATTCGAGGATGTACCAAATTTTGTTAGACCCATTTTCTCCCCAGAAAAATGTTAGCCATTGATGTGCAGATTTATAGTGAAAGACAGGGCCTCTTGAGCCACACAACCTCTTCGCACTTGTTTGACACAAAACGCCTGCCTCATGGAAAAGTAGGCTTCATTTTTCGAAGCATTTCGTATCGATAGGAAGCCGGTAAACTTGGAAACCCGCTGATTTGTGCCTGTAAAAATGTTTTGTTTTGTACTTATCAGGTGGCAATTAAAAAATTCAAACATTTGCTTTACTCGATATCATTCCAATAGAAGACCAGGCAAAAGTCAAATGTTAGTCTATAATATTCACAAAAAATACCGATAATAGCCGTATTTGATGATTGTTTCCAGCATTATTCCATCGTTAGAAAGCATATTTATATATTTAAGGTTGAAGTTGTATTAGCTATATTCAAAGCTAATATTACATTTATCCCCAAACAGTTTTATGACCTGAAGCAAAGGTTCTTTCTTTCTGTAGAATTAAGCAGTAGGAGAGATTTTATCACATAATTTGCTTACTTGAATCTGACATGAAACAAATTAATGTAAATTACCCTTCATCATTAGTCTTCTAGTTATGGTACCTTCAATGAATTGTTCTGCAGAACCCTCGGCATCGCAATCGTCAATATGAAAAATGCACCAATCTGAATTGCACCGGTAAATATTAGCTAATCAGGAAAATAGCGAATACCAAGAATGCAAGCATGACTGATTTAAGGTAATATGCATTATGATTAGTTTCATCAGCCTCTAAAGCCGTATTTAAATGGACAAGCAGTCCTAGACAATTGTTAATGTGTAAGGATAGTTTCGAGACTACCAGTAAATCAGTAAATCACCCAATTTCGTTTGATGTGATGAAGGACTGGTAGTAGAATTTTCCCACAATCATATGAGTAGTTTCCATTGAATTTCACATAGCCTTGCTTTCCCAAAAGTTGCTTTCATTCAAGATGGACTGAAGTTTCTACCTCGCCTAGGTCGAAACCCCAATGAGTGTCGAACTATGACAGCGCAGTGTGTAATCTCCACACATTAGCCACTATGCCAAGTTTCCACGAAGGACCTTGGGCCACCGAGTATGTGTGCATTTAAAGGAAGGTCAGGCATTTTCTCATATCAGATCCTTTAGTAGATTTGTCGATGAAGCAAAATTATATTTCGTTTTTTAGTTGGTTCTCGAGGATATCAGTAAATCAGATATATGAATTATGTTCAACCTATTTTGTTTAAGATGATGAAGGACTGTGAGATTACCCGCTGAACTATCATGGTTCGACTCCTGAGGAATCTTGATATGAGATGTAGTCACCCTATTTCGTTTAAGAGGTCGAAGGACTAGTAGTAGAATTTCCCCACAATAAAATGAGTAGAACGGACGTTTCCATTGAATTTCACAGAGCCTTAATTTCCCAAAAGCTGTCCTCTTCCAGGTTG